GAGAAAAAAAATTGCTTGAAATTTCTTAATTTGACAATGTCTTCTGGATCATTGCAAAATCGTTATATATGTATATATATATAACATTCATGGAGAATTATACAATTTTACAACACATATCATTCACGGAGAATCATTCAATTTCAAAACCATGCTCTGATACCACATGTAAGTTCTATGATTTTCTAATACATCAATTATAGAAAATTAAAGGATCTTTGAAATTCATGATACTCACATAATAATAAGAAAGTGTGTACCTTTCTCCATAGTAGAAAACTCCTTTGATCCTTAGAGTGCTTTGATCTTCTTGAGAAGAGAACCAAGATTTCACTCCCTTTGACTTTTCTTTCTACTCTCTCTATCTTTCGTGATGGCTAGGATTTGAGAGAATACTTTCTGTCAGGGGTGTGGACATTATCTCACATTAGTGGATATTTATAACTCCTAAAGATTGTTATTTCCATCAAATAACAATTATTCTCATAAATACTCCATTAAACCCATTTATGATTTAGTCTTTAATTATTTAATTATTTATTTATTAGTCCCTTTATATTTTACATATTTCCCACATGAGACATAATTATCTTACAAACCTCACATTATTAATTAATTATAGATATTTTGTATAATAAAATTATTGTTTTTATAATAATCATAACTATTTTAAAAATATACTTAAGATAATTTATACCTGATGGATAGTATATTAAAATTTAAGTTATATATTACAAATGATAAATGATAAATTTATTTCTTTTTTTTTTTCCAAAGATGATTATTTTACTAATGGAGTCCAACTTAGTTATACTTGTACATACATTAGTTATAAATTTCGTGGCACACATTCCATTACAATATTGTACATAATTTTGTCTATTAATAATATATGATGGATATAAAGCTGAAAACAATCGTGACTCACTGTTGCTGAGGTCCATTTAGTAAGCAGGCTTAAGATTTGCAAGCCACGTGAATGGTACATGCATTTTCTCATGATAGTAGTTAAACTTTAGGAAAATGATCTGCAATATACGTGTAAGAATTAAAATTTTTTTTACAACAGATAAAATCTGCACAGATCTTATCTTATAAGATAAGATCTTATCTCTTAGTAACTAAAAATTTAATGCATGATTAAAATCTAACTAATTTTAAAATAAATAAAAATAAAAATAAAAAAAGTAATCTTTACAATCTAGCTTATAAATAGGATGTGACCATCATAGGTAAAAATAAAGATAAAAAAGGGAGAGTGAGAACCGGAAGAAAGATTGTCAAGGAAGAGAAAAAAAGTATAAGAAGAAAAGTGAGGAAAGAAAAGAATTTTAGTAACCAGTTTTCTCTAAAAATAATTCTACTTTTCTATTAAGGTAAGTGAGAGGATATCTTTATCTTTTTAAATTTTAAATACTATTATATTTGTTTATTTTATGTGTATTTACTTAGTGAGGTGTTCCTAACTTTATTTACTTATTTTATTTAAGATATATATTTTTTTATTCTTAATAATTAATAAGGTGTTTCTAGTTTGTGTTTAATTATTTTATAATGTTTATCACTTTCATTTACTTGATTAATATTTTTAATACATTTCATTTACATAAATTATATTATATTAAATTTTAAATAATTAAAAATTCTCAAACTTATTTAGTTTAATTATTTTTATATTAATATTAACTATAATATAGTTTTGTTAAAATATTCTAAACTTATCTTGTTGTTATTTCTTCATGCATTATAAATATAAATATTATTCTATGGCCATGGAGAATAAAGTTTGAATTAATTTATAGTTGGAGGTTTGACCTTAAAGATTTAAATGAGTAAGGATTTAAAGTGAAATATCTTTTTAATTTGTTGGTTGATATTATGATAATGCTTATTTATCCTGACTAGCTATTAAAATAATTCAAATTTTATTATAACATGATATATATATATATATATATTTGCTTATATATTTAATGTTGATTATAAATAATTCTGTATATTTTATTGAGTTATTTGTATTTATTGGATATTGTTCTCACTCCTTACTTTTCTCTATTTAAAATTAAATATATTACAAAATAGATGGATCTACCCACAATCCCAGATTCCTTTACGATTGTTATTTCTGCGGTCTTCCTTGGGAAAAATTGGAGACTTAGTTTAGATTTTATATTCTGGACTGCCTAGTTTAGGTTTTATATTCTGGACTGCCTGGTTTGTTTTATATTCTCGACTATATATATATGCAGGTTTTGGGTATATCAAAAAACAACCAAAATATAAAAAAAAAAAAAAAAATGCAAGAATTTACGTCGGACTATGCCTTATTCGACGTAAATTTACGTCGGACCTAACACTGGCCGACGTAAATTTATGTCGGACAAGGCATAGTCCGACGTAAATTCTTGCCTCTTTTTTCCCCTTTAAAACCCCTTTTTAACGTCGGGCACAAGGAATCTCTGACGTAAATTTACGTCGTCTTTTACAGGTGACGTAAATTTACGTCTCCTGTATTAACGTCAGAGCTTTTTCCGACGTAAAAGCTTCAAAATATCCGACGTTAAAGACCCCTTTTGTACTAGTGTGTCCTCGCAAACCTACACATAACTTTTTATCGTACTTTGTCCTTCACATATTTTCTAAAAAAATTTCCATAAAATTAATCACTCATTCTTAAACCGTTCGAAGTCAAACATGTTCGAAATCAAACATGCTTAATTGTGGAGTTCTCAAGTCATGAACAACTAAAAAGTAGATGTATCTTATCAATATAGTAGTACTAATTAATTTCTTTAAACTATCCTCAATTGCGCAATCTCACACATATACTTGAATCCCTCTTATTTCAATGTGTTCAGACTATTACATTTTATATTCAAACTTTGGAAGAAGCTAAGATTATTTAGTAAAGGAATAAAGTTAAAGGGGTCATCTTTTAGTTATGAAAGGTGAAAGGTAACCCAATCGATCATTCAAAGCAGGGCGATATTCTTTTTGGTATTGTAGTCAAAACAATGATATATAGATAACATTTCTACAATAAAATATTTCTCACCCCTTTTTCTGAATATAATTTGAAATTTCTATCCATCATTTGATTATCAACTCAAAAATTAACCGTTGCATTCAATTAAAGGATAAATGGAATATGTAGTTGAACATGATTTCGACACCTAAATTATGATTTTCAATGAACCTTAACAATTTTAAGGAATTGGTTTTCCATTCATATATGGTGGACGATGGTGTGATTATATTGCAATCATTTGATTCTAACATTGGATTAAACACTACGAATGTTTTCTACAAAAGACTCTTGGCAAAATGCTCCAACTTTTCTTTGTCTTAGCTAGCTTTTGAAGCTCACTCCTTATGCATGAACATTCCTTTTCAAGCTCCGAAACAAGGTCCTTCAAGTTTTCAGTACCTTGTTTAGGGTCTAGTGGACCAGTTCCATTATTGCTTGGGAAGACAAGATTTCCACTATTGTTTTGTGAGTTCTCAAGATTCTCTGAAACATATAACCAACTAGAAATTGATGTGCGGAGTCGAAGCTGTTCAAAAAAGAGAACCTGCACAATCACTCGCAGTGGTAATCTTTCATTTTGTGCTGCATGAGTGCTTGCTTCCAATGAGAGTTTTTGGCAGTTCATGAGTCTACAAAATTGTTCCCTTTCAGAATCTATGAGCCAAGGATGTGCCTGCACTTTTCATGAATTTGTCACGTCATAATTATTAATAGAAACAGAAAGAAAAATAAAAACCAATAACAGTCGTGAAAAAGACAATGATATAACACTCTAATAATTAATTAAACTTTAGCAATTAAGCATTGGATTCTTCAAAAAAGATAATTGTATGCCCCTTAACACACACAGGTATTCTAGGGCCTTTTTTTTAAATCAAAATAATTATATGTCACAACATTTGTTAGGTGGAACCATTACGCAAAAATGTAGAGAACCAAACTTTTGGGGAAGTTAGCTAGGCTTCCAACATGGTCTTTACCTTGAGGTATACATCTATTGCATGATATAAATCATCATCCAATGGCCTAGCATAATCTGGAATTGCAGAAGCAAGGGCCTGAAACTTAGGAAACTTCAAATTAACATCTAGAGCCACCTCAGCCAGATATGCATCTACCAAATTTGCCACCATTGTCATAGGTGCAAGGGCATTGGTTCCAGCTATCAATGGCCCTTCTTCAGTTATGCATGGAGAAGCTGATGAAGTTCCAGGCTGGTATATAGACATAAAATGATCAATAATCCTCTGAATGCAGTCTATATCATAAAGGGTCTCAACTGAGTGCCCCATATTTGGTATGAGAAGATCCACAAGCTCAACTTGGTTAAGTTGTGATCCTATTCTTTTCTCCAAGTTTTCTATACATGATGGACTTGCATGTAGTTTCATGGCTGCTCGGAGCAACCTAAGTAGATACTTGGAGGGTGTGACCCCTTTCTTATTAGGAAGCAAGCCCATAATTTCTTCCAACAATGCCTTTTGATCTGCTTCAGAAATTGTGCTGTTAGTGGTTGTTCCTTGGTTGACACTATTTTTATCATTGAAGCTTGCTTGCCTATTCATCAAGGGGATAAACCTCCTAATATAATATATAAGGGATCCAGCAACATTCTCAGGTTTCATACCCTTTGCTTCAATGGATAAAATAAGTCTTTTATATAAGGGTAAGCATAACAAAGACAAATCCTCATACCACCAATTATCACCTAGAGGTGGTGATTTACTCTCGGGAGAAATTCCATTCCATAAGGCAGGGTCTTGAGCTGAGTTATTAGAGCAATCATGTCCTTCCACGTGTTTATTGAACATGTTTGGTTCAGAACATACTTTCATGGCCAAGGAATCAATGCATCTTGAAACAATGTGTAGCTCTTCTGCATAAGGTTTCACTTCCTCACATGTTTGGAGAGCTTTTATTGAGTCTGACCAATTACTGAAAATTTCATTGAAAAATGCCTCAGTCCTTGCAATTAGGTTCCCTTCACCATAATTCTCATTCATTTGTAGGTACTCTGATGCACATCTTAGACTAACTACATTTGATGCAGTGACTTCTATTTTTACACCGTAGCAAAACTTGGTCACAAGCTCGAATGTCTTGTCTCCACCTGGCACGTCATGAAGTTGCAAAACACAACTTGATCCATCATCGTTTGATAAGTCAGCAATGAGTTTCTTTAGCAATCCACTTCTAGAAAGCAATGGGAACTGCATTGTCAAAATCACAAATCCACAAATAAAACAAGGTCTAATATGAACTTGAATATAAAGTTGAGTTATCACTTGTTAATAATAATATTAATAAAGTCCTAACAAACAGTGTGTGAATCAAAAAAAATCTTTTTCAACATAAGTTCAATTCAAACATACACCTTATGGAGAAAAAATGATGTTTCGCCTACTTTAACAGTAACATCACTTGGAAGTCCGGTTGTGCAATTCCTGGACATAAAAATATTCAAATTTAAAAATTAAGACCAACTTTCAACAAGGATAATCAGTTGCTGAGAATTAAATCAGTATTGGCCCCCACAAGAGTGTAAATGAATATACTACAATTCTATATAGTTGAGTTGTTTGATGCTTGTTCTATATTTTGCAATTATGTGTTACACAATAAAATCAGTTACCAAAGAATTGAACATGGTAGAGAATGCATGACCTTATATATCAGTCCATGATTATAATGGAACGTCATGAGAATTGAATCCTTAACTTAGGAAATATTACACCTTGAACACTCAACCATTTTTCAATTTCCTGACTTCTTTTAATTTTTGGTCGGGGCATTTGCATTGTTATGATCAAAAAGATCAGTAATAGTGACAATTGGAATTTTTGTAACTTCATCTAAAATTTGACACGACCCAATTGCTTTGTTAATTTCCTTTTATAAAAGTAATTAGGGTATGCTTTTAGCATGACATACATCACCTTTAATTTCCTCTTTATTAAGCATGGAATTGTACCACACGTGATGTTGAGGTTTGAATTGTATCTAGAACACTTGTGATTTGTGAAGAGATAATCTCTGCATGTGTTGATTCCAAATCACTCAAGATTTATAAATTATAATTAAAGGACATCATAGATGAAACTGAAAAACCTTTAGGTCATAGAATTATATATACACATTATCAAACATACACATTATGATTCGGTATCATACCACAAGTTACACAACCGATTGGATCTATATGTTGGTATAAAAACACATACCATGTTTGGCCCTCATGATAAAATGCATCAGATTTTGATCCAAGCCTCATGAAAGCCATTTATGAATGTTGTTTGAAGAATAGAAGGCAACAAGCAGAGAACATGAGAGAGTAATAGAGGAAGAAGATTGGAGAAGTTGTGGAGTGAGAGATGAGAGCAGAGTACAGCTTTTGCATTGTGAATGTGATTATGGTCCACAACACAAACAAGTAGCGAGTCTAATGCTAATGATAACTGAAATAAGCGAAATACATGGTTGTGCAATCATATGCACACATATCACATCTCTCTCCCCCTCTTCATTACTGTACATGCATGTTTTCACATGGAACTCATTTTCATCTACGTGGAAAACCACGTCATTTGAAATAAGGTAGTATTCATTTTCAAAGAATTAATTTTAAACTGTTGAACATAATTGTGAGACGTGTCTAAATTAATCTCAATCATGAATTTATATCAGAACATATTTGTTTCATTGTATAGTACAATAATGATTTTTTTCCAACACAAACAATGAGCATAATTACCCAAAATAATTCTTTTATTGAATGATTTTATACTCTAAAGATATAGTATATCTTTTAATTAAAGGCCGTCATGGTAATAAATTAATGTTTTTCGAATATTGATTTAATAAATAATTTTTTTAATTATGATATAGCATTTGAAAATTATGATGAAGTACATATAGATAAAAAAAATTATTAATGTAGACATATTGTAAATATATATACTAATAATATGATATGTTATATTATTAATATTTAATGTAATCATTGCATGTATATCAATTTTCTTTATTACCAAAAAATCCATTAATACGATATATCAGATTGCTAATATATATCTATAATATTTATGTTCTTACTTGAGATTGGTGGAGAGACGATCTTCGGGTAAGATCGGCGAGCCTCCTACTTGGTACATCAGCTGCTCCGAAATGGGGTTGGTACTTGCAAAAGAGACTCTAATGCTTAAGTTAGTTTTTTTGGGTGTGTAAATCTCATATATATAATGCATGTACCTTGATGTAGATTAGGGTTTTTCTCATGACTGATAGTGGGATCGGTTATGATTTGATAAGATTTAAGATTGAGATCTTATCAGTTATCTTATCAGTTGGAGATTGACCCGACTTGATAAGCCGATATGGACAGACCTCTTGGGTATTGAGGTGGGTCTTGATACCGATGTGGATAGTACACTAACCCCTCGAGCTTCGAGTGCTTTTAGCCGAGGAGTTGATGTCGATGTAGATAGTACACTAGCCCCCCGAGCTCCAAGCGCTTTTAGCCAAGGAGTTAGTGCCGATGTAGATAGTACACTAGCCCCCTGAGCTCCAAGTGCTTTCAGCCGAGGAGTTAGTGCCGATGTCGTTTGGGGTTCGTGATTCTTCATTTCCGCCTCTTGGGCCAAGGGCCACGTGTTGTGTAAGGGTCGCGTCGTTTCTCAAACGGAGGCGGATGTAATAAAGGGTGATGGCTCATAATGATGGGACGCACCCTGTCATTATCACATTGTATTTGATGCCCTAGCTTCGTTGTCATTTTTTTCTTTAAACATTTGCTTCCCTCCTTATTTCCCCACAGCTTCTTCTTTGTCTTTGTCGTTTCTCAGTTCTTAGCTTCTCCATGTTCTCCGTCGCCCCCATTGTTCCCCTGTGGTAGTGTTCACTTCGCTCGTCGTCGTCGTTCGCGAGTTTTGATCTTAGGAGTATCAGGTAATTCCCCTAACTCTCTCCCCTTTTGTTAGTCGTGGTTTGAACAATGGTTGGTGAGGGTTCCGCTCCCCCCAAGGTCGTTCCGGGCAAGGCCAAGGGGAAAGCCAAAGTGAGCGAGGATGCGGTGGTGGCAACCGGGGAAATGGTCGCCGCCGGTGAGGAGAAAAAGAAAAGAGGTGGAAACAACCCCAAAGATTCACATCCCACCATCTCCGTTCCGGGCTACGAGTGGGTTAGGGGGGATGTTGGGGAGTTCGAGAGTGTGTTTAGAACCTTCCTCGAGGTTAATGCCCTATGGAATTCATTGACGATTTGTAAGTCGTCCGTGTCCAAGCTCATCTGGGTTGAGCCTTGTCAGCCCAATGAGCATGTTTTCATGGCGAGTACTGCGAACACCCCCTTTTTTCTATACACCACCTTAGTGTTTGTTTTCCATTCACGGAGTTTGAGTGTGGTTTTCTCTCCTTTGTCAATGTGGCCCCTTGTCAACTGCATCCCAATAACTGGTTTTCTGCGGGCCTTTCAAGTGTTGTGCTAGGCCTTAGGGATGAGGGCGTTGCTTTCCATCTTTCTTCATTTCTATCAACTCAAGTTGGGCGAGCCTCCTTTGGGTTGGGTGTCACTTAGTGGGAATAAGGTTGGGGGGTTGTTCCGACTATACTCCCAATCTTACAAAAATTTTAAGAACGAATTCATTTGGATCTGACTTGTGAATTCTGACCCGAGGACCAACGTGGTCTTTCATCACGAGGGGAGGCCGAGGTTCCCCCTCTTTTGGCAGACGAGCCTAGTGAAGTTTAATGGTCGAGCTGCCTTCGTTTGTCATATTTCGACAAAGACAACATCACTAATCTAGTGGAGTTGCCACGCCTGTTGGATTACAAGCTCCTTTTGGCCCTCACCGATCTAACGAACAAGGAAAAGGGTTTAGAGAGTGAGTATTTGTTTTGATTGCTTCATTTCTTTGCAGAATTGATGGGGAAGAGTAAGTGGCGCGAGTTGAAGGCGAGGTTCAATACCGAGGAGCTCGAGCTACCCAAGCCTGGTGAGGAGGTTGCTCCTTTGGATACTCTCCGCAAAAGATAAAGGGAGCCAAAAGAGGTCGGTGAGGCTTCCAATGCCCCGATTTTGGAGGAGGTGACGTCGAGAGTCATCGACCCCCCTGGCACGATTGATTTGACTGTAAGCCCTCAGGCCGAGACACCGCCAAGGGAGCCTACGTTGGAAGCTACTCTAGAGAGACAGGTTTTTACTCCACCTTTTTCTTCATAGTGTCCTTCTCTTTTTTGCTTTTTTTATGTGTATATATATATATATATATATGTATATATTGAGTGATTTGGGGGAGAACTCATGGGCTTTTCATTGTAGGTGGTTTCGACGTTTGACACGGCTGAGGACCATGGGGATGGTCCAAGCTCTGAGTTGCGGACGTCGGTCCCCGTAACCATGACTTTGTCCAGCCCCAGGCCGCCTACTACTTCAAAGTCAAGGTGTCTTCATCAGCGCTTTGATGTGACTCGACCGTTGGCGAGGCTCGACCATGTCAATATGTCGCCTGACGTCGTGTCTTTGTGGAACCCCTACCTCACTGCCGAGAAGTTCTACAAACTAGATCCAACCTATGTGGCCGATAAGGCCATCATAGAGAAGGTAGGGCCTATTGAGGGGTTGGACTCGGCAGAGGTCTTCATGCAAAGGTCCATTGCTATAGTGGATCACTAGAGGCGGCGATGGCAAAAGCATCAGCTTGAGTTAGAGAAGGCGCAGAAAGGCGAGGCCGAGCTGCAAGCTCTAAGGATGGATTTCGCAAAGACCCAGAAGTCTTTTTGGGGATTGTTGTGGAGGCCAACAAGGCGTACACTGTCAAGGTTGGCGAGTTGGTGAAGGTTTCCAAGTCCTCTAAGGGCGAGGCGGAGGTTGCCCAGGGTCGAGCTCGGACGCTGGAGGAGGAGAACGCCGCCCTGAAAGCCAAGGTACGAGCAGCCGAGGAGAAACACCTTTGTGATGAGGTGCTGCTTGTTGGCCAGGGCGAAGAGGTTAGTGCCTTGAAGATGGACCTCGAGGTGCTGACCTCTTCGAAGAAAGATGTGGGGAAGAGGCTTCTTGGGACTGAGCATGCTGTGGTGATTGAGCATAAGAGGGGCTTCAACAAGGCGGCTCGTCAGGCCCAAGAAATTGCTCCCAAGGTGAACGAGGATGATCTTTCCGAGAGCTCGAGTGAGAACACTGCTGCTTTGGCCAACATAGTATCTCTGAACTTTGTAATAGAATTAGTTTATTTTTCTTATTTTCGGTCTTGTATTATGTTGGACTCATTTTGCTTTGAATGAATTTGCCCATTTTGCTATATACTGCCTTTAATTTTCTTGTCATTGCCTAAACTTGTTCTATCGTTATCAATGCGAATTTTAAGGTTCTAGTTCGAATTTTGCCAATTTGAGCTTCAAACTTGGCCTTTACTCTTTGCTTTCACGGTTCAAATTCGACCTTGGTGCTTTGAGGTTCAAATTTGACCCTTCATTTTTTTCTTCGAGGTTCGACTTTGACCTTGGTGCTTTGGGGTTCAAACTTGACCCTTCATTTCTGCCTCCAAGGTTCAAAATTCGACCTTGGTGCTTTGAGGTTCAAACTTGACCCTTCATTTTTGCCTCCAAGATTCAAATTCGACCTTGGTGCTTTGAGGTTCAAACTTGACCCTTATTTTTTGCTTCCAAGGTTCGAGTTCGACCTTTGTGCTTTGAGGTTCAGACTTGACCTTTAGTTTTGGTCTCCAAGGTTCGAGTTCGACCTTGGTGCTTTGAGGTAGACTTGACCTTTCGCGTCTATGCTAGTGTAAGTTATACAAACCAGATATATGTGAAAATGAGGTCGTTTTATTGAAAATTTGGGTGTGCCTCGTTAAAACCTTCTCGGTCAAAAACCCTTATCTTTTCTTTTAGGGATAAAAGGGTCGAGGAGGAAAAAGAGTACATCGCCTTTACACACAATTTAACTAAAGTAAAATTTGAGTTGGGTGGCGTTCCAAATTCTAGGGATTGCTTTACCGTCGAGTTCTTCTAATCGGTACGCACCATTTTCCAGGTCTACATTGATTCGAGAGGGGCCCTCCCAAGTCAGAGCTAATTTTCCTTCGGAGGGGTCCTTTCTAGCGTCACTACGGAGTCGCCATATGAGGTCTTCGGGTTTGAACTTCCTCAGTTTGATCTTGGTGTTGTATCTTATTGCGGCTCGTAGTTTGCAGGCTTCCTCTTTGATTCGAGCTTCATCTCAGAGCTCGTCGATCATGTCGAGGTTGATTGCTAGTTCTTCGGTCATTCTGGTCATTGCTGAAGGTCATCCTTCGGTGTGATGCTTCCCCGACCTCTACCGGGATCATGGCGTCGGAACCGTAGGTTAGCCTATATGGTGTTTCTTGGGTTTCCGACTATG